TCCAGTGTAACACATCTCCTGATTTCCTGGCTGCTAGTACCAAGGATGTTAATTGTTCTTTTAAGTAAGATGAAGCTGTTGACAGTTTAAATCTTTTTTCTATGTATCATGATCTTGCCTATTGGTCCAATGGTAAGAGTTCTTGTTTTGGTGTGTGTGGGTGTGTGTGTGTGTGTGTGTGTGTGTGTGTGTGTGTGTTTTACATTGAAATGTGATCCACGTTGAAGGCTGTATGCTTTGATTTTCTGCAACAAGCGCTTCAAGTCCTCATTTTCAGCTAGCAAAGTTGAGTCATCTGTATAATGCAGGTTATGAATGAGTCTCCCTCTCATCCTGATAACACATTCCTCTTCTTAGAGCTCAGCTTCTTGAACAATTTTAAGCCATGTAGTGTTTCCTTGCTCTGTTCACATGACAGCCTCCTGTCCAGGTATAGGTTTCACATGAGCACAATTAAGGCTCTGTGATTCCTATTTTTTTCAATGCCAACCATAACTTGTTATGATACATGTAGTCAAATGCCTTTGCATAGTCAATCAAGTATAAACAGATATTCTTTTGCTATTTTTTACTTTTAGCCAAGATCCATTTGACATCAGCAATGATATCCCTGGTGCCACAGCCTCTCCTAAATTCTGCTTCAACTTCTGGCAGATGTTTTTAAATGACAGTTTAAATGGATGTCAAACAGACATGTTGTTAGGAGGGGCCAATTCTAGAGACGTCATACTTGATTATTAAGTGAAGGGCCAACTAAAACATTATGATCTCCTTGAAATGGACTAACACTGTTATTGCAACAATTGACTTTAGCACATTTAAGATGAACAGATTTTGTTTCCTTGTTAGGGTCTATGAATCAGAATCCACTCAATGATACCTAACAACAACAAGGACAACAACAATCTTTATGGAACCCGATCAACAAGCCTTTTTTCAAGAAGGGTGACTGGGGGTGTTCAGACTGTTGACCTTTAAGTTAGTAGCCAGGTGATTAATTTAGAAGCAGGTGCTCTTTCTAGGAAATTGAATTACAGAAAGTCTCTAACTCTGGTGATGGCAGAGACCACAGAGTTGTGATCTGTCTGAAGTTCAACACCCAGCAGCACCATGCTCAAGTCCATTGCTGAATAGGCAAGGCACTAGTTAGCCCAAATGGGAAGATCTCAGGGTAACCCTGGAGTATAGACAGAGAAGTAACATGCAGATGAGGGCCAGACCAGCTACAGAATTTGTGAAGCCTAGTGCATTTGACAGTGTGGATCACAACAAATTATGGAGAACATTGAGAAGAATGAGGATCCCAGAACATTTAATTATACTCATGTGAAATCTATACATAGACCAAGAAGCTGTTGTCTGAACAGAACATGTAACACTTAAAAATTGGGAAAGGTGTACATCAGGGTTGTATCGTTTCTCCATACCTATTTAATTTGTATGCTTAGCAAATAATTTTTAAAGCTGGACTCTATGAAAGAGAATGTTGTATCAGGATTGGAGGAAGGCTCATCAACAACCTGTGTTATGCAGATGACACAGTCTTGCTTATGAGAAGAGAAGAGAAGTTGAAGCACTTACTGCAGAGGATCAATATGGATTGCGCCTCAACATCAAGAAAATAAAAGTCCTCACCAATGGGCTACTTGTCAACCTCACGACAGTTGGAGAAAAGATTGAAGTTGTCAAAAGTATTTAATTTTATTTATATTCACAATCAACATCCATGGCAATAATAGTCAAGAAATGAAAAGACATGTTGCATTGGGGAAAATATGCTGTCAAAGAATTCTCCAAAGTGCAACAGTGTAGCTTTAAAGACAAAGGTGCGCCTTATCCAAGTCATGGTCTTTTCAACTGCTTCCTGTGCATCTGAAAATTAGACAGTGAATAAGGATGACAGAAGAAAAAATTATGGCTATTGAGTTGTTGAAGAGTATTGAATATCCCATGGATTTCCAAAAGAACAAGCAAGTCTATGTTGGAGAAAGTGCAACCATGGTGATCCTTAGAAGTAAGGATGTTGACATTCCAACTCACATACGTGGGGCATGTTGTGAAGAGGGTCCAGTTATTGGAAAAAGATATTATGCTGGACAAGGTTGAGGGTCAAAGAAAGAGATGAAGACCCTCAACAAGATGGAATGACATAGTGACTAACAATGGTTATTAACACATCAGATAGAGACTGTGAGGATGGCACAGCATCTGGAAAAGTTTTGGTTTGTTGTTCATAATGATTTAGGGAATGAAAAGGGCAGGAGGAAAAGTCAAAAGAATCTGCTTACATGATCTAGGGAATTAGTAAGATAAGAGGGAAAACAAGAAGAACCTACTCATATACATTCATGCATTCTAGTATTCTGGCTTATGTACATTTACTGACACACATCTCGCTAAGCAACCAGATTCCTTGGAGGCAAGGATTTTGAGGCTCTGTCTCACATACTTTGGACACATGGCCAGCAGAGACTGGTCCTTGGAAAAGGACATCATGCTTGGAAATATAGAAGGACAGACAGCGCAGGAGAGGAAGACCCCAGGTAAGATGGATTGACACAGTAACTGGGTAATGGGGGTCCGTGTGTTAGAGAAAGTGAGGTTAGCTCAGGACAGGGCAGGCTTCAGAGCTATTGTACATAGGGTCACTATGAGTCACAAGCAACATGAAGGCACATAACAACAACAATAACAAAAACAGATTTATGAGAAACATCAGGAGTCTGACATTAGAAGGGTATTGCTTTAACACCTAAGAGGTATTGTCTTAAAAACTCAGAATAGTGGTGCTCTTCAGAAGACTAAACAAGACCGGATGAAACTTGGTTACATGAATTGCACCTAACCAAGCAGTGACCGAAAATGGCACTTCAAAAAAAAAGGATGGGTCTTGAACTAGAGGCCAGAGTGACCACATGCATACATCTCATAGACTTGCCACCTTCTCCCCGACTCCCCGGCATGAAAGTCCATTTTGTATATAGATTATGTGCACCTGATAAAGAGCAAGGAGCTGTGCAGACACTACACCACACTTTTCTCCTGGAAAACACCCTTTCTTTTAGGAAATAACCATAGAAAAGCTCTGAGAGTTTGTGGCTTGGGAAGACGTGCTTGTGTTCCTCTGAGCTCCTGTAGTGGTCTCACCTTGCAGGGTTTTCTTACTGTCTTATAAATCTAAGTAAGTCCTTCTTTATAATTGTCTGACTTTCTAGGAATTATTTAGAATCACATCCAGCACCAATAGGGTCACTATGAGCTGAGGTCTGCTTGCCAACACCTACAACTGTAACAACACATTTGTTGTTGTTGTT